TGCCCTGGCGCAAGGCCGCGACCAAGGCTCTCCGCCGACTGCCTGTCGGATTCTGTGGTCTGGGTTTGATGTAGGCTTTGGGGCTTTGGGGGTTGGGGTTTAGGGTTTAGGGTTTAGGGGTTTAGGGTTGACGGTTTAGGTTTTGGGGATTTTGCTTTGGGATTCAAAGGTTCGACGTGTATGGAGCAATACGTAGCATAGAGCCGGGCTTGATCATCGAGTCGAGCATGGTTTGCAAGTCTACGTAGACCGAAACACGCCAACCCAAGATCTTTGAAACGCCAGTCACTTCAGCTTGCCAGTCCCTCTGTTTCAGAAGCACGTAACCCTTGGCTTTTTGTTGCCCGCCCTTGTCTGAAAACCCCTTGTATAAACCCTTTACAAGGCACTTGTTGCTTGAACGAGTATACGACCCTAAACCCGAAACCCTAAATATGGCAGCCAGAACATTTGAGGTCGCCTGGTGTAGCAGGGGCTTCTTGGGCTCTCTTTTTACATCAGCGCTTGGTCTGCCTTTTTGGGGGCCCATTCGTCTTGCAGCTCGTCGAGCCTGGTACTGGGTTCCTGAGGCTTCCTTGGAGGTTCATGGGTAGTTATAAGTGGGGTTATAAGTAGGGTAACTATAGTTATAACCCATATTGGGGGACTTATAACCCTACTTATAACTACCCATGAACCTCCAAGTGAGGCTTCACGGACTTTTGGATCTGCGGCTTCGGGCTTTAGTTCCACATCCCTACGGCAAAATAGCCCTAAACCTAATGTTTCGCGCAGGCGTCCAGACCCGAACACCAAACTGCGTGATGATGAGATAAGTCTTGCATTGCTTTGAGGACTCTAAACTATGGGAGCTATGGTATAGGGGTAATGCAGGAGCAATATCATCAACCGTAGTAAATAGTATCCCCGTATAGTTCCTGGACAGTGTTGAGTCTCACATAGCCCAAAACCCTATTCTGTTTAGACAGGCCTTTAGGGTAGGCCAAGATACTAATACCGGTACTAATATGAATACTAATACTATAGCTCACACCAATACTCACTTTTAATATTCATATTCATAGTAAGACGAAGAATATTAATACTAGTATCAATTCTGGTATGAATTCTTAATACTAATATTAATACTAATATCAATACTAATATTAATATTAATATTCATACTAGTATTAATACTGATACTAATGCTAGTATTAATACTAATACTAATATTATTACTAGCAAAAGACGAAAATGCATATCATAACAATTGCACCTGCTTCCCAAGGCTGAACCAGCTAGTCGGTCAGAAGGCTGGGCCTTGTTCGTTGGGTCTTCAGCCGAATGTCAGGTGTAGGGTTGAGGGTTTAGAGTTTAGGGTACGTGATTCTACCCATGAGCCTTCAAAGAGTCTCCACTCTTATCCACCCATGAGCCTTTTAAGAGTTTTTTTGGCCCATCATCGCAATTTGTTGCTGTTGTCGTTTCACGATTGTCGTCAGTACTTCTCCGAATGCCGCTTATACTGCTGCTTTGGTGCCACCCTTGACGACGTTAGTTCTGTTTTACTTCTAAGTATGGGTCGTCGAACTATTGACTTGCCTCGTTGCTGTGAATCGTATCATTGCCGTCACCGCTACCAGCATTGTCAGTTTCGTTCATCGGAATCCTCGATGTAGTTCCTTTATCTTTGTCGTCACCCGTACCATCTTGCATCCTTGCCATTTTCCTCTCTTTCGCGTAGCCGCTGCCATTTTGGTCCACGTTGTTGGTCATTAGCATCGCAGCCAGCAGTAGCAGTCGTAATCATGTTACAGAGGGCGAGTTTATGTACGCAAAAAATATAACGTATATACGCATGCACGCCTATATGCCTACATACTTTTGTGCGTACGTACTTACGTACATACACACGTATGTGCGTACATGCATGCATACGTACATACAGACATGCATGCATGCGTGCGTACATGCAAAAAAACCAAAGCTATATTTCTATGTATATATATATATATACATACACAGAAAATAATACAATATAACATCATGTAATATGGTATAATATAGTATAATATAGCAGAATATGGTATAATACAGTATAATATAGTATAATATAGTATGATATAGTATAATATAGTATAATATAGTATAATATAGTATAGTATAGTACAATATAGTATAATATAGTATGATACAATGCAATATATTATATACCATAATATATAGTATAATATAATAGCATCTCATCTCATATAAGTTAATATAATATAACATGTTATAATTTAATATAATAGAATACAAGATGTATACTTCCTTATGAAAGTATTTCGCGCAGTCAGGATGAAAGCAAGAAGCAGCATCTATGTACTTTGGCCGTAATGCAGTCCCTATATAGGTAATTCGGGGCCAAAGTACATAGTTTTTGTGTACATGGACTTGAAACGGGCCCGCACTTTTTTTTTTTCCTAGCGTTGGCGGTCCCCGGCGGTCCTTGGTAACGTTGGCGGTAAGCCCGGGCAGCCCCAAGCAAGCCTGGGTCGTCTATCTATATGCATCTACCTATCTATATATCGATACGCACATACATACATACATACGTACATACATACATACGTACCTACCTACCTACCTACCTACCTACCTACCTACCTACCTACCTACCTACCTACCTACCTACCTACATGCATACATACATACATACATACATACAAGCACAAATACATACATACATACATACATACATACATACATACATACATACATACAGACATACATACATACATACATACATACATACAAGCATAAATACATACATACATGCATGCATGCATACATACATACACTATACACAAGTACATATGCATATGCGTCTGTATATATATATACACACACAATATACACATATATGCACATGTATACATTCACGTGTATGTATGTCTGTCTGTATGTATGTATGTATGTACGTATGTGATAAATGTATACACAGACTATCACAGACTTGTA